AAAGGGCTATAAAGGAGGTGCCACAGATTAATTGACTTCAGGATACAAAAAGAACAATGTCATTGTGAATTCCTGTCTGGCAGAAGCACATCTGTCCAGATACGCCAGATTGTTAAGAAGTTGTGGAAGTTTGCTCATCCAGCTTATGTGTTTTGTGGACCTAGAGAAGGCCTATAACCGGATCCCGCGCAACAGTCTTGGGCATACCTGGAAACATGTGATCGATGGCGACTTGGTACGAGCTATCCAGTCACTATGTGCTGATAGCAGATGCTCCGTCGGAGTCAGGAGCGTTAAGTCGAGGCCCTTTAGCATTAGCATTGGTCTCCATCGAGGCTGTATCCTGTCCCCTCCTGTTTGTGTTGTTCATGGAGAGAATAGGCTGGAGCAGACAAGGCGATGCGTGCAGCGGTGTAGTAGATGTAGGGACGAGAAGGTTGCTGTTTGCAAACGTTCTTGTTTTATTGGCATCTTCTGAAGCTGATCTACAGTGCTCTCTAGAAAGGTTCGCAGCCGAGTGCGATGTGACCGGCATACATATGAACGCATCTAAAACGAAAAGCCTGGTGCTCTCTCGTTCTCCTGCCCGTTGTTCTCTTCAGATTAACGGAGAGGCAGTGGAGTAGGTTGAAAAGTTTAAGTGTTTCGGAATTGTATTTACTAGTGATGAAAAATTTGAGGAAGAGATAGACCGGCAAATTGGAGTAACCAGTGGCGTTCCGCTTGAACTAGCCCAATCTGTTGTGACTAAAGTAGAGCTGAGTCTGAGGACCAGACACTCGGTGTTCAAGTCTGTCTTCACCCTATGCTTACCTACGGTTATGAGTCATGATCATGGTCATGTCATGATCATAGTCATGTCATGATCATGGTCATGAACATGATCATGTCATTACCATGGTCATGAACCATGACTGAAAAACTTCAATCCCCTTTACACGCGGCTAAAATGGGTTTTCTGAGTCGCTGACCTTACTCGTCTGAACATGATCCGGGGTACAGAAATCTGCTAGAGCCTTAATGTACAGCTGCCGTTTCTTCAAATTGAAAAGTCACAGTTGCGATGATTTGGGCAAGCTTAGCCAATGTCTTCATAAGGACGGCGAAGCAACTAATGCATGCCTAACCGACCGATTGAAGTCTCCGGGGACGACCAAGATTACTGGTGCAGATATATGGAAGAAATATGCTACAGATCGGGTTGTCTTCTGCCTAAGCTCAGACTGTGACACACGATCAGAAACGTTGTAATTACTGTCTAACGCGTCTGCCTCCACGACCCGAAAGGCGAAGCAGTTATTGAAAATGATGAAGATTTTCTATTTTCGACTCTGTCTAGTACGCTCAGTTTGACTGACTCATTGTTTCTATTCACGTTGATCATTTTTCCCTAGTCCACGTTGCTTTTCAGCTTTTTTAAAGAAAAGGTCTCTTTATAATGCAGCCCTATAATTGGCTTACATTTATCTTGTATCTCTATAAATTGCGCTAAGCTGCTGTTGATTCCTTTTTCTGTTGATTTTTTATGACGTTTGGTGTGGTCTTTTTACTTTATCTGTTCATGCGTTTTCAGTGTGTAATTAACTTTTAGGTCAGCTGATCTTGCAATTCATATATGCTTTTTGTTTTTCTGATGACCTTTTGATTTCTTTATTTCTTATCCGAAGTACTAGTTTTTAGTTTTTGGCATGGCCACTCTATCGCTGGCAAGAATGTCCATATTATTCTAGCAAAATTGGAACTAACTAAATATATTTTGTATTTTGTCCCTCGAAAGCAGCTTGAGGCATTTGTAACTGACTAGTCTTTTGGTAGTTTTGGTTGGATGTTCATTTCTTGATGTCTATTCATCTATTGCCTGGAGCTTCTGTGTTCGATCAGAGTAGATGTAGTTTTAAAATCTCACCATATAAATTATAATTTTATTTTGTCTCTGCTTGTTGATACTTATTGAATGCTTGATGTTAATCGAAATTTTAGTTCGTCTTTAGAAGAAGACGAAGTAGTCGATGAAGATGAATCAGAGAACCAAGAAGATTACGTTGATCGTAACGATGATCCTGACAGCGACGAGGATGAAAGTGACGACGAGTTTCCAACACCCACTGGGGAAGCAGTAAGCGCACGTCTACGGTTGAGTAGGATTTAGTAAGTTTCATTCCTTGCAGCCTGGCATTGACAGCGGCACGACTGCATGCGTGCTTGTACTGAAAGATAACATAGCGTACTGTGCAAATGCCGGGGACAGCAGATGTGTCCTTTGTCGCGACGGAGTAGCCATTCAAATGTCTGTTGATCACAAACCCGAAGATGAAACTGAACGGCAGCGGATAGTAAACGCGGGAGGAAAAGTAACTATGGATGGCCGAGTGAATGGCGGACTGAATCTTTCCAGAGCTCTGGGTACTTTTAATGTTTCTCTGTTTCTCTTGCATTATAGTCAATCCGTTTCAGGAGATCATTTTTATAAACGTAATTCCAGCGTGCCGCTGAAAGATCAGATGATATCTCCCTTACCAGATGTATTTGTACAGACAGTGAAAGAGAACAAAGAACAGTTCTTTGTTTTGGCTTGCGACGGAATATGGTAAATCATGAAAGAATATTTCTGCAGATTTTATTTCGTGATTCAGTCAATTTACCAGTTTTCATTAATGACGTGGGAGATTGACATATTTTATCAGGTTCTTTTGTATCGATTTGTTCCTCTAGTTTTCAGATCGACCTGTGTTTGTTCAACATTTCTTTGCAGTTATTATTTACGGCTAGGCTTTGACAGTATGGGAAATCCCTTTAACATAAGTTGTTTGGCATACTTTTGTAAGTGATCTATCGCTCTACTTACATGTTCAGAACATGCTGATGGGATGTTATTCAACACTAATCTGATTTGGATAATCAACTTATAATTTGTTCATGGGTGGGCCGTTATCAGTTCCATATTCGTCGCAGTTCACGTATTTTAACGATGTTTTATAAAGTGCGGTTAATATTAGGTTTAACTTCTAAAATATGCTGTCATGCTCAGTCACGACAAACCTTCACACTGGAGGCAGTTAGACAGCCTCTAATAATCATTAACGTCTCATAATGTAAAAGAAAGTAATTCTGAACGATGATATATGTTGGCAGTGCGACAGTGGTTTTGAATTTTCTCCACTCGTCGTAATGCATATATTTGTCATTCTTCGACATTAGATAAACTCTGACATTAGGTTAATTCCATTTAATTTTTGTTTACTTTAATTTTATGCACTTCTGATTTATGGCTTAGCAGTGCAAAGATATTTGTTATGAATAGGAACGCAATGGAGAACCAAGAAGTGATTGATTTTATCAGGTTGCGAATGAATAAGGGCGCCTCTCTGAAAGAAATATGTGAACAGGTAAGATATTTGCGATTTGTAAGTTAATTTTTCGTTTTTGCTAAATTGTCAGTATGGTAAAGAACATCTCGAAATTTGGCTTTGTTGTAATAGAACAGTTTAAGAAATTATTTCTTTAACTCATACCAGTACATGCCGTGAAAGACTTGAAGAAGCTGATAAGTTTTCCTAGAAATGATTCTTTGGTCAGAAGCACGAAAAACTATGCAAAACTTATTCGTAACTATTCTGATTTTTTGATCGACCTAACATCAGTGAATATGGTGGAAAATTCCCTGATGATTACTGATACTCGCTCGATCAAAATGTTAAAATAGTTGCTAATTAAAATAGTCTTTTTCTGATGCTAACTCTAAGCAAAAGCCCTATCTGCTTCAGTAATGCTTCTGAATGAACTAGTTTTAACAGTGGTCTTGTGTAGCATTAAAGCACGTGCTTTAAGAAAACTGACCATGGCACATGGCAACAGCAAAATGCAGATAACCTCTTTGAAGGAAATAATCGTTCTATCGTAGTAGTAGAAACAGTAGTATCCATTCAAAACAGACTTCTTAGCACCACCATCGAAGAGCTGTTTACAATAAAGGTACAATAATTTACGAAATAGAGAATTTACGAAACGTTCAAGTGCTATAGGCATATAAAATGACATCAAAGGACTTGCTAGTAAATGTTTTTACAATTTTTATCCAAGGATACAGACGAAATGAGCGCTCTAGAAATAGACATGATTGTATGTGGGTGTGTGAGGTGACAGCAAATTTGTGTCCAATATTATAAACTTATTGCGAGTGTAGGCTACGAATAGTTATATACGGTGCTTTAATTCATTTATTTCCTCCGGGTTGGAAGAGGCAGTGAAGAAGATTGACAAAATGTTTTTGCAGTTTTTAATAGATGAAGTGCTGTCATTTCATTGTCATCCTACATGTATCCATCGTTGTAGTATACCCTTGCTCGTGAAGTTTTGTCATTTTATATCCAGAATATCGAGGGTAATTTATTTATTCCATTTTACGTGACAATAGGGCAAAGTAGCTTTCTTTTTTCTTGCTATATGTTGCAATATTTTTATTTGAACTTTGACTGCAGATACAGGTTATCTTCTGCAGAAGCTTAAACGCCGGCACACGATCGGGAATTTCAGAGAAACTCTCCGATGTGACTGTTTCTGCGACCCGAAAAGATAAGCGGTCATCAAAACTGATATTTCTTATCTTGGTTAGGCTTGCATTAAGCAAGTAGGAACTTCCAAGCGTTTACTGTTGCTACAGCTGCTGCAGAGTGCCCCCTTTGGTT